CTCCCTTCCTCTCTCCCTCCCTCCCTCCCTCCCCCTTCCTCCCTCCTTCTCTCCCTCTGTCCCTCCCCTTCTATCTGTCTCCCCCTGCCCTGGGTCTCACTCTGTAGATTGTGTTTCTGGCTCCAATGGTGGACCTTCCTGCCTCTAGCCCCTTCCCTCTTCTTGCCCACATCCTTCTGCCTAGGAACTCAAACAATTCAGGGCCTGGTATGGGTCCTTCTCCTCCATCCCACTTCTAAAGTTATAAAGACCCACCTAGTGTCTTAGAGGACCTACCTCCCTCTCCCTGCAGGAGAGGAAAGGAAGGAATGACACTTTAAGGTAGCATGAATCAATGAAAAGCCAGGACTAGACCCCACGGTTCCCATTCATGCATTGCAGAGCTGCAGAGGACCGGGCAACCTTCTAGTTAGCCATGTGCACACACGGGTAGGGCCCTGATGGAATTTTCCTAGGCTGCTTCATCAGTTGGAGGTAGGATGGACTTCGTCTCCATAGCAACCTAAGGACGTCCCTGTTTACCTTGTTCCACACCACTTACAGGATGCCAGAGGAAGATGGACTTCTCAGGGGTCAAGGGGGCATGGAAGTTTAGAAAATCTCTGTAGTTGTGGGCATAGACCATAGGAGAGGCAGGGCCCTGGTAACTGTACTTTGTATAGCTTCCGAATAAATCATGTAAATCCATGCTATCATCCCCATTCTCTGAGGGGAGCAACCTAGGCCCTGAGAGGTTAAGCTGTTTTTCCTAAAGTGAAGCCTGGTCTAGAGCCCAGGCCTATAAAGTTTAAGACTCTTGCTGCTGCCCTGTAGGCTTCCCTTATCTGCTTTCAAGGCTACCCCGTTCTCCTCTAGGCAGGGAGGTCTGCCCTGCCCAGTGAGTGTCCTGGCTGGGCTGTGGTGTGGGTGCCGGCCTAGAACTCAGTTCTTCCTTCCAGTGTGGGCTGTGGGCTTCTCAGAGTCACAGCCTCTCTTTGGACCTCACTGTGCTCCTGAGATGTATACAGCAGGGCTGGCTGCCTTGGTGACTGGACTGGCTATGCTAATGAATGTCCCTTCTCTGAGGTTGGGACAGGCTGCTTTGTGCTCATCAGAATAAATGGAACAGACACCTGTGTCCTGTAACTTTAATTTAATACAAATGGATCATAATGCACAAAAGGGCAATGTTTTAAATAAAAATACTGTCAGGAGTAGCCCGGAGTCTGGGAGTTGAGGGCACGAATAGGGCTCAGGATTCCTCTTGCTCAGGGAGGCCCTAGTGCACTGCAGTAGTAAGTGGGAGCCCCTCAGGCCCATCCATTCTGGCTCCTTGGAGATGGGCATGCTCACCGAATCCCAAATACAGGATTGGAGCCAAATACAGGACTACAGTGAGGCTGGGGAGCCATTTTGGTTGTACTTCTTCTTAACTATCTACTCCTGAGAGCGTTGCCTCTGGGCAGGGACAGGCAGGGACAGAGCCATGGAACAGGACATCTTTAGCAGCTCTGCTTCAAAGTCAAGGCCTTGAGGTGGATCCATGGATTTCTCCTGAGTTCTTCACAGTCGGATGCTGTGGCAAGGAAATTGTGGATGGGCCTGCTCCACCTCCATGCTAACTTTCTGTGTGGCTGAGGCTGGAAGAGAAAAACTACATTTCCCAGACTTCTTTGCTGTCAAAAGTCTGGATTCTGACTCAAGTTTCCACAACAAGAAGCTATCTGAAAGATGCAGATTTGGGACCTGAGTTGAGAGAGAGAGAGAGTGGCAGGCTTGGACAATCACTTGCTGGCATGGATGGCGGCAGTGAGCAGCTCCTGAGGCAAGTGGAAATAGCTTTCCTGGTCATAAGACATGATCACTGTAGCTGCTTGGAGTTGTTCCTGGAAACTCAGCAAGGCTCTCCTCCTCTAACCCTTCCAGTGATCTTACAAGCCACCCGGGAGAAGATTGTAAATTCTTGTCTGATGAAGCCTGATGGGAGGCAGATGCTAAGTCCAAGGTGGTACCCACCACAGCCCTCCTGCGTGCGGGTCAGGACCTGATGACAAGAACTGCTACCAGCACCCTCTCTGTGCCCACAGCAGGTCACAGAGGCCTGGCTGATGAGAGCTGGCTGGACCTCTCTCCCTAGAGCTTCTGGGGACTTGGATTGTCCATTGATGCTTTGTCTTGACAGTGCTCTGCATTAGTTCTGGGGCCCTTATACCTCACCCTGCCACAGAGACCATGGACTGGAAGACAGTGGCGTGACTGTACCATGTGGACTGCCTGTCACAGGCCACAGCATCACCTCTGACTTGCAGATTAGTGGGAGAGGAAGAAACTCACAGTTCTCAGGTTGGTGCAGGGGTGGCAGGAGAGGGTGACCCTCAGACAACCTTAGGACCAGCTTCCACCTGGGTCTCCTGTGGACTTGGGTCAAGAGTAAAACAGCCCATTACTCTCTTGGTCAGGGGCGAGTCAATCTTAGGCCATGAGCATAAGACAATTCTGTATATCTTTTGGGCTGCTAGCTATTGATCACATCTGCTCTGTCTTGAGGCTAGGCCACCTGGGCAGAAGGAGAGAGATTTCTTGTCCCAGGGAGAATAGGGATGAGGGGTTGGGCAAGCACTGCCCTGGGGAGAAGCTATGCCACATCCCATCAAGATCAGGGCTACAGGACATCAACCATGGAGCACAGTCTCCAGATCACAGGCAGGGCAGAGGAAGCCGGGGAATAAACCACTGGCCTGAGGTCTCAGGGTGGCCACGGTGGGCCCGAGTAGTCCAGGCCCCCATCTGCTGGGCCAGGCTCTTGCTGGTGGTCACAGCCCTAGGAGGCTTTGGTCTCCCTCAGCCCGGACTAGATGCGGACAGTGTTGATCCTCAGTGGTTGGACATTCTTGCCATTGGCATGGCTTTGGCCAGGGCTGAAGTAGGAGCAGAGCTTGCCAGGGAACTTCTCTCGGAAGGTGTAGAGCCAGGACATGTCGTCGGCATTGTAAAAGATGAGGAGGCCCTGGTCATAGTCCAGGAAGACACCCACCTTGTCAAGCTTGTCACGGACATTGAGCCGTGTCCAGGGCTCTGTGCATGCGCTGTACTGGTTGCCATCATGCATAACAATGCAGTAGAAGCCACGACTAGGCTGGATCTGGATGCTGCCCTTGCGGCTGGCAGCCTCGTGGGCCAACCCAATCACCCACTGGGTCTTCTCTGCCACCACCACCTCCCAGTAGTGGACACCGCTACTGAAGGCTTCGGAGCCCAGCACCGACACCTCCACATCAAAGCGTTTGGGTGAGTCCTGGAGCGGTTGTGGGTGCAGGTTCCCGTAGGCCACGATGGTGCAGTCATCCGACAGGATCAGGCGCTGGTGGGCAGTGCCTGGGTCCAGGGTCAGGGCAGCTGGCACTAGGTGGGAAAGAGAAGAGAGGATGGGAAGATCAGTGGAGAGAAGGCTGTCAGTCCACTATCCAGTGCCTTCCTGTGGAGAGGGTCCTGGTTGGTCTCCAGCAGGCTACTGACCTACTGTGTCATAACATAAATGAATAGAAACGTGCCCTCTTATCTGTTTCCTCCTCCTCTGCAAAATGGAACAGCCTAATCTTCTTTCCGCCTGGCTGCAGAGGAGTAGCTGGTAAGGTCACTGAACGATTCCCAAGACAAAGCACCCAAAGAGGTCCAGAATTAGAGGAGCTGGGAAGAACTGGGAAGGAGCAAGATTAGCCAGATGATACTGCCCCCTAGAGGGTGATCTGGAAACTTTTGCCACCTGTATCCAAGATTGGTGGGACAAATGACTGCTAAGTGAGCTGGGGGCAGGCCAGCCTGACAAGGGACCGTTCACCCCCACCACTGAACTCCGGATGTCCTCCCAGACACCAAGCGGTCGAGAAATCTTTATATGTGGATCTGAAAGTAAACCTACTTCTGTAGTATGTATAAACGTGAGAATGTTTTTGTAATTTTAAAACACATTGAGGATTTTGGAATGCAATGACCAAACTGAGGGAGGCTACTTTTTCTTGTTGTTGTTTAGAACTAACAGTGATTTGCTCAATACATCTAACTAAGAGTGATTTGCTCAATACATCTCCAAGGATGATACCATTGGCATAGACAATTTTCTGAATGGTGTTTCAATTACACTGTGAGCACCTGGTTGCTTGGTTGTGTTTTCCAGTGTGATTCTGAATGGGCTTTTGTATACTGACCTTCAAAACATTTAATTATGGGCTGGGGATAGAGTTCAGTTGGCAAAGTCCCTGCCTGGCATGGACAAAGCCCCAGGTTTGATTCCCAGCACTTCATAAAACTGGGCATGGTAGTATGTGCCTGTAATTGCAACACTCTGAAAGTGGAGGCAGGAGGACTAGAAATTCAAGGTCATCTTGTACTACACAGTGAATTCGGGACCAGGCTGTGCTGCTAGAGGTGTTGCTATCTTCAAAGAAGTTTAACTACAAATATTCTTCTATTTTCCTTTCATATTATAGTCAGTTTTTACATATGCATGCATACATTATTGTATATACATATATACTTAAAAGGTCACACGTATAATCTGAGATTTTAAATTTTGTTATTAATAAAAATATACAATATGTCCTAAAATGTTGGAAATCTCTAATCCTACCAACTTTTCCATTTGACAGACAGGAAAATCAAGACCCTGACTAATCATAGGTCAAAAATGCTGGCAGAGCTGGGATTATTCAAGGCCACCTGGTACCTGGTCACAGCCCACCTCTTCATTCAGGCCTAAGCCCTCTGCTCATGTTACACCCCAAACCCCTACATCCTTTCGGATGCAGATGTCAGCCCCCGCCCCCCCTTTTGAAGGTTCATCCTCTGGGAGCCTTTGTGCTGGAGGACCCAGCTGGCTCCTCCCTCGGCCTCTGGTACTCCACAAGACATGGCCTTCTGGGCTCCTATATCGTCCACTTTGCACCCAGAGGCCAAGGTCTGTGTTGAAGTGAACCTTCTCTTTCTTGAGAGTTCAGTGCCTAGCACAGAGCCTGGGATGGGCAGGCTTCTGGACATACAAATGCACTCACCCCTGCCAGACAGGCTGGGTCACCTGGCTCTGAGCTGGTGATACCAGCTCAGCAGGTCTGATAGGACAGTCTCTTGAACTCTTGTCAAGACCTCTGTTTATTCTCCTGGCTTATTCTGATAAACCCCCAAGGAGCAGAGGGAACCTGAGACTGGTACTTCTCAGCTAGATGAATATTTCCAGGCCACAGCAAAACAGAGGGGAGAAAGAGTGGGGGGGGAGTGATGGAATACTGCTGCAGTTCCTTGGGGCCAAGGACTTTCCCCAGCTCCTGGGCTCCTTCCTTATCAGCTGGAGCAGGGGCATGATGCTTTCTGCCTGGACCAGTGTCTCTGTAGGCTGTATATAACAGGGAAATAAGATGCTCCAATGCTTGTGACTGTCCCACTAGGCAGCCACGGCCGGTCCCAGCATCATGCATTCCCAAGAGGCTGAAGCTGCATGGAGCCTCTTCCATGAGCTGGGTCATGGTAACTCACTTCCTCACCGCACACTTCTCTCTTGTCCTCAGAATACAGGGAACTGTGTGGGAACCAGGAACCCTGGGTATAGAGGGGCCCATGGAACAATCCTTTGTCCAGGGTCATAAAAGGGGGGGGGCTAATGAACCCACATGTGAACTTTTGCCTGTAATCTAAGTTGCTGGATAGTTGGTAAGAACAAGAAAGTTCCTGCCCCGTGCAGTGTGAAGAATTCCCACAGTGAGAGCAAGGCTGGAAGTGTATGAGTGTGTGTGTAAGAACCTAATTAGACACAGATGCTGTGTTACAGCTGACGCTACAGGCAGTGGGGGTGGAGTGGGGGGTGGAGTGTATGTGTGTTTAGGATCCCAGGGAAAACAGCAGCGTTTGGGAATGCCAGACTCCCACAGCCCAGATGCCTAGGATACTGTGAGGAGGCCAGCAAAAGGGAGACCCCAAGGCTCAAGCAACAGTTTTGGGGATACTGGCAGGTAGCATGCAGATTCAGTCTGACTCTTAAGTCTGTGTAGGGTATTGTGGGCTACTTCCAGAGCCACTGCTGAGTGGGTAGGGCTTCTGGCAGCTCTGAGACCAGTATGACAATGAAGAACCTCTGGGCAAAGTGTAGGGGCATCCATCTTCTGTGCAGGCCTTGGTCTCCCTGGGGAGGGGGCAGGGCCTGGGCTGTGAGCCTGGCCTTCCACCTAGGCAAGAGGTACGATGGCCTGACTCTGAGTTGGCTTTGGCACTCCAGAGAATGTAAGGCTACAACAAGCTCTCCAGGACTCAAAGAATCCTCCCTGAGGCTGGCAACAGCAGTGACCTGCAGTCTACAGAAAGCAGCCAGGGACCCTGAGGGACACTCTGGTGTGGCAGCTCCCCTTTCCCCCCTCCAAGAAGCCTGTACCCTCAGGATAGTGATGAGACCCAGTGAAACCAAAGCTTTCTCCGGGCTCATCACCTTGGAGGTCAGAGTTCACATCTAGTTGTGACACTCTTATTTATAAACAAAAGGCTGGGCCTAAGGGGTCTCTCTTCTCAAAGTATCTTCTGAGTCTCCGAAACCTCTCTAAGACCTTGGGTCAAAAGGCACCCAGGAAGGGCCCCAGACTTCCAGACGCCATGAAAATGTTTCCTGTTCCTCCTCAGTTATCATCCAAGCAGTAGAGAAAGGACTCCCAGATGCCCAGCTCAGGACACTGCCTGGCAGCCAGAGGCCCCGTCTCTTTGTTCTCCAGTACAGTAGGGGTCTGATGGGACAGTAAATATGTCTGTATTTTTTTCCTCTCCAACCCAGGCCTTAAAAAAAATAAGTCTAGTCCTTCAGGTCTCACACCTCCGCAGGCCCTCAGTCCCCTATGCTTCCCTTTCACAGTCTACACAGACTAGGCATGGCTCCAGAGAGTCACAGTAGCCCTAGGGTCTCAATGATTGTAGCCATTTTCTAGAAGGGAAAACTGAGGCTCTCTGAGGTGAAACCGAGGCTCTCTGAGGTAAGCAGCTTGCTTAGATTTTACTTGGGTGAAAGATGAACTGGAACTCGAGCTGGGTCTTTTCACACAGCATCCTTCCAGTATTTGGTCCCAGAAAATCTGACCAGCAGGGTGGGGAAAGTGTCAGATTCATAATAGTAAATAGTAAAGTGTGCTTACTAAATTATGGGATCATCTTCACGGAGAAACCAGTTCTCTGTTATCTCCCCTGGGCAACACCCGGGACCATCTCTAAGGTGTGGGTGAGGAAACCATGCTCAGCTGTGGAGGGGGGAGGAGGAGGAGCGGGGGAGGGGGGAGGAGGAAGGCAGTTTGCTTTGCTTTGGGTCACGCAGTAGGGCAGAGAACATTCTGGGTCTCTAAATGATTAGATCTAGATGAGCGCAAAGGGGGTGGGGCCAGACAAGGCAGGGAGCCTGGGGAGGGAGAGGGGTGTCTGGTGTCCTTGGACAAGGGGCTGCCTGGCTCACTGGGGAGGTTTGCTTTTGGGAGCAGCGAGAGGGCTGGGTTGGCAGAGGAATGGTGGGTGAAGGGCTGGGATCTTGGGAAGGGGGGAGGTGGACGGGGGACACAGGTCTTCCATCTGTACATAAAAGGCCCCCTGCTCACTGAGGAGCCAAAGTGACTTCATAGATCCCACAAAGAAAGGGCCCAGCCAACCACGTCACCGTTGTCTGCAGTCCCAGGGGCCTTTGCTCAGATCACACACCTGCCCCTCAGTCCTCTTGCAGGGAGTGTTCTCAGGGCCTGTGGTCTCAACTGAGACAATTTTGCTTCCACAAGAAATCTGACCAAGGCCAGAGTCAGTTTTGGTTGCTCTAACAGAGGGGAGGGGACAGTGACATCTAGTGAATAGAGGCTGCAGAGGATGCTAGTCTCCTGTGTGTAGGACAGGACCTCCAGCGGGACCTTGTGGATCAGTGGTAAAGAGGCTGAGACACCCTGCTTGGAGCCATCATCTGTTCACTTGTGATGGAGGCAAAAAGGGATATCCAGCCTTACTATTCAGAGGACAAAACTGGGCTAGAGGAGGAAGGGGAGTATCTAAGGACCTGCAGCGAGTCCCTTTAATACTTACTGAGTGCTTGTTGTATACGCTAGGCACTATTCTAGAAGTGGACTTGAGCCTAACATCTGTTCTTTTATTCCTTCATCAATAAACATTGACTGCTGGCTGCAGGGGATTAATTGAACCCAGCCTCTGGCCCCTTAGAGCTCAAAGTCCAGAGAGAGGGAGAGAGAGAGAGTACCACACAGGCTGTGATCAAGGATTGTGATCCGAAAAGCCCAAGGTTACCTGAGGAAACCCAGGAAGACATTTCAGCTGAGGTGTTTAAGGTGAAGCAGTAGCAAGAGTTTTGGCCATCGAATATCAAAGATGGTGCCAAAGTCTCCAGACAAAATGTGCAGAGGAGGGAGAATTTGGCTCACGCACAGCCTGAAGATTGCTCAGTACAGCTAGTGCGATGTCTTGGAGGGTTTGGACTCACCTGTGACAGGGATGGGGCAGGTGGCATCTGAGGCAGAAAGCTTCTAGACCAACCACTCAAGGGGTGCCCTGGGACCCAGGGGAGGAGAGAAAAAGATCCTGGGGTTCTTGTCTCTCTTTAGGTACACTGCTTCAGCCACATAAGGGCTCAGTGTGAAAGTCCCTCAGGGGCTGGGGCACCCCCAGGAAGGCAGTTCAGATTGCTAGAAAAATGATCCCTTCCCCCAACCATTGTTGCTTTTGTTAATTAGATGACACCGGCTCCCTTCAACTCTAAGACAGCAGGAATGACACGTTAGACGTGGCCTGTTACCTGAAGGGGAACCCCAGCTCTGTGAGCCAGCATCCACACCCCGGGTGATTGTACCAGGGACCTCTCCATCACTGCTGGGGCTCAGCTGAAGACATTCTCGGGTGACACAAGCTCTCCAGTACCCAGTACAAACCTCAGCTTCTCCTGCTGCTCCACTTGGAGCTTTTGATTGATTGACCCCAGCCCCACCCTCCTACCTGCGCCCACCCCTGAGCTTCCATTATGTGCAAGACTCACGTCAGAGCCCTGTCCCACTAGACGGCAGGGTCTGGCCACCTGCCCGTCTCTCCTGACTATTGAAACTGAGGGTCAGTCACTGTTTGTATAATTAAATAATGAATCCATCCAGTTTGATGGATCCTGACACCTGTGTCAGGACAGGGGACATCTGTCTCTGCACTCGAGGAACAGGCAGAGTAACACGACCTGCTGCAGAGGGTTTCCCGGGGACTCAGTGAGCTCAGCATGGGCTCCGGGGCACAGCAGATGGTCCATCCAACTGCTCCAGCTCTGAGCCTCCAACTCTACACTCGAGGCACTCGGGTGACCGTGTAAGCACCTCCAGGAGCTGAGTGTGTCACAGTGACACAATGCACTTAAGGAACAGAACAGGACACCAACGGGCACCCTGCCCACTTCCTGCTCTGCCACCTGTCACACAGGGCCCAGGTGGCAATCCACACTTCTTCTCCCTGTCTCTCCAGGAGGACAGGCAGAGCCTCACCTGGGTGGATGTCTTGGAAAAGAGACTTCCAGATGGTGTACTGCAGGGGGCCCGTGTACTTGGAGGTTGGGAAGTCTTCATATGTCAGGTTGGTCTCATGGATCTTCCCCTTGAGCCTGGAAGGGCAGTGGGAGAGAAGGCTTCATGGGGTCAGGTACCCACCTCCAGGGCGAGGTCATGAGTGAGGCGTCCGTGGGGCTGAGACTCAAATGTCTGCTCTGTCTGCCATGTTGGACCACTCTGTTACCTTCAATTTGTTTGCTCCTCTGTAAAATGGGCACCGTGCAACTGTTTCTCAGGTCCCTGGCCAAAGTCAAATGCAATGAGGCACTGTGCTAGGCCCCGAGTTTCTAAGCCTGTTGAGTGGATTTCATGGAGCAAGGTACAGAAAACACTTAGCTCAGTGGCTCCTGGCCGACTGACACCAAGCACGTGATGGTGTGGTGAGTGCTGATCTCCAGTGAGCCAACACGAAGTGATGCCAAGAAGGGGAGCCTTGAGTTGCCTGGTTTGAGCCCTGGCTTTACCACCAGCCCAAGTTGCCTTGCCCAAATAATCAAGTGATCTAACTGCTCTGAGCTTCAGTTTCTATACTTGTGAAATGAGTATTGGTAAACTCCCTGCAGGGGCTCATAAGGTTACAGTAATAAAATGATATTGTAATATCTCTATTGGATGGTATATAGTATTAATGTTATAAATAAGGGGCTGAGGAGATAGCTCAGTTGGTAAAATGCATGCCTTGCAAGCATGAAGTCCTAAGTTCGATCCCCATAACCCATGTCAAAACAAAAACAGGTGTGGTGGTATGCACTTGAAATCCCAGTGCTGGGGAGGTGGAGACAGGAGCATTCCCTGGGGCTTGCTGACTGGTCAGTCACAGCCTGCTTGGAGAGCTCAGGTCAGTGAGAGACCTTAACTTTTTTTGTTTGTTTGTTTGTTTGTTTGCTTTTCCAGACAGGGTTTCTCTGTGGCTTTGGAGGCTGTCCTCTTGTAGACCAGGCTGGTCTTGAACTCACAGATATCCACCTGCCTCTGCCTCCCGAGTTCTGGTCTAAAGGCATGCGCCACCACCATCCGGCCGAGAGACCTTATCTTAAAAGACACAGTGTGTGGTGCAGAGACCATCAGAGGTTAGGTGCTTACTGCTCTAAAAGGGGACTTGAGTTTGATTCCCAACACCCATGTCCAGCGGCTCACAACTGCCTGTAACTCCAGCTCCAGAGAATCTGATGCCCTCTTTTGGTCTCCACAGGCACCTGTACGTTTGTATTATACTCAAACACACACACACATATACATAATCTTAAAAAAAAACCCAAAAACCCACAGGGCGTTGGCAGCGCACGCCTTTAATCCCATCACTCGGGAGGCAGAGGCAGGTGGATCTCTGTGAGTTCGAGGCCAGCCTGGTCTCCAGAGCAAGTACCAGGACAGGCTCCAAAGCTACACAGAGAAACCCTGTCTTGAAAAACAAAAAAACAAAAAACAAAAAACAAAAAACAAACAAAACAAAACAACCCAAGGTGGACAACACCTGAAGAATGACAGATGAGGCTTCCACATGGCTTCCAGAGGCTTCCTCTGGCTTCCACACACATGAACTTGTGAACATGTACACCCCATCTCCCCAAATACATAAAATACATATGTGACACATAGTGCAAAAGTGTATTAAATGAGTATATACACCATCAAATATTGCTTATGCTGTTATAGGTAGAATACATACACATATGTTGTTCTGAGATAACATTTACTCTGTAGCCTAGGCTAGCCCCAATCTTAGGACAAATTTCTTCTCTTAACGTCCCCAGTGCTATGATTACAGGTGCTACCCACCACACCCAGCTCAAACGGAATATATTATATACAGAATAATATGGAGACGAGGGGCTTTTAGTGTGGGCTCTGGCATATTAATAGCCAATTCCTATAAACAATGATGAAAACGTGGTTGCATGAATTATCTGTGGACAGCCCCATCCACCTGAACCCCCTCACTGCCTCAGTTGGGTTGGGAAGGCTGCAGCCAGGTGGCACTTACCTCTCAGACAGGGAGGCCACTCCAGCAAGGAAGGTGTGCCGGTCAGTCTCAGCCAGCCGCTCTTGCAGGATCTGGGCACCCTCTTGCACCTTGCGCAGCTGCTGGCTGTAGCGCTGGACCTTCTGCTCAATGTCAGTCAGCGTGCGGGCGGTGTCAGCCTCCAGCTCCTCCAGCATGGCTTTCTGGCGCTCACGCAGTAGCCTGTGCAACCGCTCAAAGGCCTCCCCGATGGTGGTCCGCAGGCTCTTGGTAGAGGACTGGGGGCGTGAGGGGGGGGAGAACCATCGGGGGTTATGAGAAAGTGTAGGTGGGACCCAGTGTGAGCCTTATGTGTCCAGTTGCCAGTGAGAGGGGGGTAGCTTTGACACAAAGATGGGGGAGGGGGCTTGCTCGGCAGGCTGGGCGTGGCACACAGATGCGCAGGACAGAAGGGCTCATAGTTCCATGGGGGTTCATCCGAAGACTAATGGAGTGGTGCGGCAGAGCCCGTGAGGCTGTGCGGGGCAGGAATGCATGATACTGCCCAGATTGGAGGCAGCAGGGAAGTGGGGGGCGGGGGGGGGGGGGCAAGG